CAGGGAGAAAGAAACACTGTCAGTGATGGCAAGGTCACACAGTAGCATTTTCTGAAAGAAGCTGACTGACAAAATAGCTTTTAACCGAGATAAAACATCTTGTTTACTTTTTAAAGTGTGCTGTGGTAAACATTTCTCTTTTTTATTACTAGGGATCATAATTTGAGCAAAGAAATCGTTTATTTACAGTAGCTTAAGCTGCAGGTAACTCTGTTTTATTTCTTTACATGCAGAAGATAAAATATATCTCAGTTATTTTGTCAGTCTGCCTTCCACTATTTTCCTCTTGTAGCCACAGACATTTTCCTGTCTTTCGAAACAAAAATACACCACTTCTATGAAGTCCAGGGATGAAGTGGAAGGAAGCACATAGGAAAGCAACAAGGCAGCCACAGCTTTTTATCAGCTGGAACAGATCATGCAGCTTTAAAGTCCCATTCCTGCAGGCTTGAGGGACACATTTAAAATGCACCTCACCTACAGAATAAAACAGAACCTATGTGGACGCCAGAAAGGATTTAGGTAGCCACAGCAGATCCAGGAGCTACCCTAACTTAAAAATGATGGGCACTATTGATTTGCTATTTTAAGAAAATAATTATTCAAAACCACCATTACTATTATAGATCATCCTTCACTTCAGCCCCACTTAATAGCCAAGTAACAGTCCAGGCTGCAATTCCACAGCTCACACTATCACAGCTTTCTAAACAAGGTTCCCGTGGGCTTTGCAGTCTTGGAGCTGCTGGTTTCTCTCCCCTCAGAGCAGGATGCAGATGTGAAGTGCAGGTGCCCCAAGTCCCCAGGAACACGAGTGTGCAAAAGCCCTGCAGCCACTCGACACCAGTGCTCCTCCTCCCTGGTCTTATTCTTCTTGCTATTTTCCACTATGCAGGCATTAACTAAATGAGCTCCTGTAATTTTTCTACAAGGTTCCTATTCCCTTTGGCTTAAAAGTCTTGCACTTGCCCTCCACACCCATAGGTGCCCCTGTGTTTATGAGACACCTTTTTCTCCGATTTCTTTTTTCCATTTAATCTCAAATCTTCTTCACACACACAAATAACTCCTCTAATGTCTTGCATCTCAGGCACAGCTGTTGCCTTACCTCTGTCAGAAGGGCTAAAGCAAAGTATTGCATCTCCTGTTACATTGGTATGGAGAAGGCACAGAGCTGGAGATCCAGGATCATTAGCATAATGACTTTTACATTACAATCATAATGAAAGTCCTTTAACAAGCCTTGACTAAAACTCCCAAAAGTTTATTGCAACACAAATGAGCTCAACCTTAATTTGTAGTTGCTGGTAGTCAATCTCACTGAATGCCACCGGAGATTAAAAGCCAAAGAAATGTAAAAGGCGATACTTGAGCCTTCATGCCCTCAAAAACGCAGGGGTGTCTATCCCTCACTGTGAGAGGAACACTACCTTCCCAAAATAGTATGTTATTCCAAGATATTTTACATTTATCTGGACCACTTGAAGCCTGCAGCGCACAGCCAGGTTGTGTTTTGTCTGCACGGGTGAATTAGGCTGTGTTCGCAGCGGAGTTTGTGCTCACATCCACTGTATCCCAGCAAGCTGTCAGAGATGATGAGTGGAGCTGCTTGTGGCAGCACGGCCAAGCAGGTGCCAGCCGTGCCTGCAATGTGATACCCGCACAAACTTGTGCAGCATTTGTGGAGAGCTGAGGCTAGCACCAGCCTCCCTCCCCAGCACCAGCAGGGACTGCGGTATAGTGTTTAACGGGGGCAAATGCAATGTGACTTCAGCAATGTTTAACCCATTTTTTGACCAAGTAAATCCCAATTTAACATTACTGTGAACAGTACTGTGGACAAAAAGTAATAGTAAAGTAATAGTTTCTAACGATCCTGTCAATTTTAGCCACATATTTATTAGTAACACTAAGAAATCACAGACTGATCGACTCTTGACCACCTGTTTCAGAAGTGCAGAGTAACATCCTGTCCCCCCAGAAGGCAAGGGCAGGATTTCAGCAGAGTCCAGATTTCGCACCAGTTGTTAAAAAACCCATAAACCTAATGACACAGTGTGCAGGCATGGGAACACAAGGCCAAGCTCTGCCTTTCTGTAGGAAAGCCTTGAAGGTACAAGGTAAAAAGGAGCGTGTATCTTTTTGAGGGATCCCCTGGAGCACATCTGGATTAGTTTCATGCAAAAGGAGTCTGGTTTGTTCACTCAGATGACTCTGCATGACAGGCACAGGCCGAGGGGCACCCAGAAAGATTCACTTCAAAAGAGGCGGACTTCAAAAGCTCCTGGATCCAAAGCAAAATGCTAATATCCACACCACCCACGTTCCTCCCTCCTCTACTTGGGTCGGTTCCTGACCGGCTGCGGGGGCACAGTCGAGCAGGTACCGCAGCAGCAGGGCGAAGGCAGAGCCTGCCCAGGGCTGCCCACCATCCCACCCAGCTTCTGATGAGGTTTACATCGTTAGGGTAAGTTTTAAACACCAAGTGTGCTTGCTGTTCTCAGGTATTATGAAACCTGTTATCTCCATTTGCTTGGTTTTCATGATTCTTAAAAGTTCTGTTTATACACAGAAGGCCAAAACTACCATGCTTATTGGAATAATTCTCAATTCAAATGAAGGAATGCTGGTTTTATCCAAGTATCAAAGTCTCAAGGTAATTTCACTGAGTAGCACAGCTCCTCACTAGCATTGCACACACTCACGTGCCTCCACAGCACAACACAGCACCGGGTGGAAATAAGATTTTTATAGCAGCAGCGTTACTTCCGACTCATATATAAATAATATTCCCCAAGTTCATAAAGAGCTCAAATCCTCCCCTGACCTGAAGAGCAGGAGTAGGGCAGGACTTTGTGTTTGTCTGGGTTAAGAGGTTAATGGTTACTCTACAGACTCCTTTTCAGTTTACTGGCAGGTCATTTTCGCAGATGATTTGCAAGTATTTTGCAACACCAGGAGATAACCCTGTGGAGCACTTCTGTCTGAGCTTCTTCTCTGTCATATTTTTAAAGACTGCATCAGATAAACCAGAGAAAGCAGGAAGGTGAGAGTTTCCTGGACACAATCACACACTGCCAAACTCTGCCCTTTCAATTCCCAAATAGCAGACTTCTCCGCATTAATGTCAAATGGAGTTCAGTGCTTGTCAAAATTAGTTTAAAATCCGATCCATAAAAAGCTTTAATCTTCCAAATATCTCAAGACACACAGCGGACAGCCAGTTTTGATCAACATCACAACAGTTTCAAAGTTTACCCTCACCAAGCATGAAAACAATGCAGGAATGATCCAGCTGTATTACTTAAGAAGAGAGAGATCTTCAGTCCTACCCAAGATTTCATCCACTTAAACTGCACAAATCATTACATTGAGAAAGGAATAGCCCATGTAATCTATTTTCCTGACCTGAACACACTAGTCTAGTCTAACATCTAGTCTAACAAAATGTCTCTTGCTTCTTGCTCCAAGTCGAATCCTTATCTTCTGCTACCAGATAAAGAGCTACTGGTTCAGACAATGACCACGCAATCACCTGCACCTTAATCCAAATGTTTTTCTTTAGGGTCACAAGCCAACCGTCTGTTTTTTCTGCAAGCCCTCACAGGACATGGAAACAGCATTTATGAGCTAACTTACCACATCAGCTGCCCCTCAGCATTTTGGAAGAAATAGGAGGGGCTTGTCAAGCGATGCACTGCAGTAAATTCAGCCAGTTCACTTAACATCACTTTCATTTTCCTTAAGCAAAAAGAACCTCAAGCCTGCAAACACAGGGAGAGCTGCCCCAAGGCCCAACTGCACACCATGGCTATTTACAGTAAACCAAGCATTGCCAGGATTAAGTCACAGCTTATTTTTTTAATACAATCATCCAAAAAGAAGCATCTCCCAGAGTGTCATTTTATGTACCTAGTACTTCCAGCTATTTTTTTGCAGAAAGAATACAAATATTAGCTTTAGGCTGCAGAGAGAGGCAGTGACAAATGCATATAGGCAAACCTCTGAAAGTCAACAGAAGTACGGGATCAGGTCCACAGTAAACTTTATAGAGTGACACCTGCAGAGGAAATTACTCATTGCGTGATTGATACCACAATTAGAGGCATAAAAAGTAATTCCACGATAAACAAGCAACCGAGCAGAAAAAGAATAATATCCTAAGAGCACGTATGTGCTCATATAAAAGTATATGTCGGACAGTATCAAACAGTCTTCACACACACACAGTTTAGGAAGGAAGTTAATTGTACTGTACCCTGCTCTCTCCCCTTCTCTCTCACCCCTCAACAGTGTGGATTTTGGGGCTGTATTTGGCCAGATCTGCTCCCAGCTCTCCAAAAGCAGCCCCAGTGCAATTAGTGGCATTACACAGCTATTACAGCCATAACTCATTGCATTCAGAGTCGCCATTTCCCGCGGGAACACACACAGCAGCAATGCAAAACCGCGCAGCTTCGCACACCCACCCAGGCTGCACCGGTGAGGAACCGGCCTGAGGTGTAAGGATCCACCACTCAAACCTCCCGCAGAAGGGAATAAACACGTTCTGTCGCTAAAAAGGCAGAGATACCAAATCACAACTTCTTTTTTTATTAAGAGGAAAAAAAAAGGGAGAGGAGATGGCATTACAGATACACGTGCATTCCCTACATCTTTGCAAGTTACACCATTTATTACCTTTATGCAACCACATCATAAAAGCTTCAGCCAAGGTACCACCTAAACTGAGGAGTATATACCCTTCCACACACACTTGTGTTTATTTACCCTTGTGATCCATGTTTACTAAGCAACTTCAACGCACCACTTCAATCCACTGCACACGGGCTTGAAATGTTTTCGTGGTTCCTCTCCAAAAATTTCAAAGATAAACCACTGCCTCAGGAAACCAAAAGCTGCACACTAAACTGCAAGCACGTTACTTCTGGCCGTGCCCCTGTACTGGTCCAACAAGCAGAATTACGCGTTTTATGAACAGTAATAAAACGCTTGCTTACCTGAGACTGACACTTTCATGAGGGCTTCCAGGGGTCTGTTGTTGTCCAGATCGCGACTGAGTTTGAGTTCCCCAGTGGCAGAGTCCAAAAGGAGCAAGTTTAATTCATTGCCTTGCACAAAGGTGTAGGCCAGGCTGTCAGACACATCGGGGTCGTGAGCTGGGACCTTGCCAATCACGCCAGAGGGGAAGCTGTTGGACTTGTTGGTCACATAGTTATTGAAGAGGATCTGGAAGTCCTGCAGCACAGGTGGGTTATCGTTCTGGTCCAGGAGGCGAATGTGTACTGTGGCCCGGCTCACAAGAGGGGCCGAAGTGGCCTGCACCACGATCACGTACTCCGTCCGGCTCTCGTAATCCAGGTCCATCAGAGCAGTGAGGTCTCCATTGAGCAAGTCTAATTGAAAGACCTCAGGGATGTTCCCCTCTACGATCTGGTACATGATCTGTGCGTTGGTCCCCTCGTCAGGGTCAGCCGCACTGATCCGTGCCACAATAGAGCCCACAGGGCTGTTCTCCTCCACAAAGATGTCAAATTCGTCCTTCTCAAAGACAGGAGGGTTGTCATTGATGTCCAGCACAGTCACTTGGATATCCACAGAGGCTTTCAGTGGTGGGCTGCCCCTGTCCACAGCAAAGGCTCGCAGGCTGTAGACAGCCACGTTCTCACGGTCCAGCTTGCGCAGTGTGCGTATCACTCCAGAAGTGGGTTCGATGTAGAAGTCTCCGTCTCCATCATCACCACCTTGGAATGTGTAGAGGAGACGGCCATTGAGGCCTGAGTCACGGTCGGTGGCAGACAGCTGCAGGACGCTGGTGGAGAGCGGCACATCCTCAAAAACTGAGCCCTGGTAGCGGTCGCGCAGAAAGCGGGGCGCGTTGTCATTGGCATCCAGGATGAGGATCTCAACATAGGTGGTGTCTGATTTCTGGGGGATGCCATTGTCATGGGCTGTAATGGCCAATGTGTAAGAGGCTTGGTCCTCATAGTCCAGCTCCATCAGGGTAGTGATGGTGCCCGTGTCAGGGTCGATGCGGAATTGGGGGATGTTATCATCCAAGATGTAAGTGATTCTCGCGTTCTCCCCCGTGTCTTCATCAGTGGCACTGATGGTGACAATGGAGGTGCCGATGGGCTTGTCCTCACTGACACTCACTGTGTAGTGGGAGCTCTGGAAGACTGGGCGGTGCGTGTTGGCATCTGTGACGTTGATGAAGACCTGAACAGTGTCAAAGCGAGTGCCGTCAGAGGCAGTGACTGTAAGCACATACTGCCTCTCCTGCTTGTAATCCAGGGGCAAGGCCAGCGTGATCAGCCCCCCTCCACTCTGGCTGGTGATGGCAAAGCGGTTCCTGGTGTTGCCACTGGTGATCTGATAAGTCACAACGCTGTTAACGTCCCTGTCCACTGCTGTCAGGGTCAGGACACTGCTGCCCACAGCCGCGTCCTCGTTCAGTCTGAGGTGATACACCTTCTCTGTGAAGGTGGGGTTGTTGTCATTCACATCCAGGACAGTGATGGACACGCTGGCTGAGGAGGTCATGACTGGCATGCCATGGTCCCTGGCCTCCACCCCAAAGTGATAGTTCTCTACAGTCTCTCGGTCCAGCTCTGCAGCCACCGTGATCCACCCTGTGCTGTTGTTGATCTGAAAAGGGAAACCAGAGTCACCAGCTACAGGGGCACCTCCAGTGGATGGTGCCATCTCTATGAGTTTGTACTCCAGGCGGGCGTTCTCCCCAGAGTCAGCATCCACAGCCTGGATGTGCAGCACTGAGTAGCCCAGAGGGACGTTCTCCAGCACCGTGGCTTGGAAAGGAGTGCTCACAAAGATGGGGGCGTTGTCATTCACGTCCACGACCTGCACTGACACCATGCCACTGGAGTTGATCAAGGGAGGCCTGCCCCCATCCTGGGCCTTAATCCGGAGTGTGTACTCCCGAATAGTCTCATAATCCAAAGGGTTGATCAGGTCGATGGCGCCGGAGAAAGAATGGATGTAGAACTGGCCTTTCAGGTTGCCGCTCACGATGCTGTAGTGCACCTGGGCATTGCTGCCCCGGTCCCGATCTGTGGCCTGCACCTGTAGTATCTGGCTGTTCACCGGGGCATCCTCTGGCACTTGTACCAGGTAGCGCTTTTCACTGAACTGAGGGTAGTTGTCGTTCTCATCCTCTACAGTGATGTGCACCATAGCTGTGGCGCTGCGTGGTCCTGGATCCTTACCCTGGTCATTGGCTTCCACCACCAGGTGGTACTCAGAGACCTCCTCGCGGTCCACCGGGGCTCGGGTCCTCACAACCCCAGAGCGTGGATCAATCTCAAAGACCCCATCGCCAGCTCCTGGCTCCAGCAGACGGTAAAGCATGTTGGCATTGGCTGGGGCATCGCCATCAGTGGCGCGGATGGTCAGCACCTCGTAACCCACCTCCAGGTTCTCCCGGATGCTCTCCCGGTACTCAGGCTGCTCAAACACTGGCTCATGGTCATTGGTGTCGCTCACGGTCACTGTCAGATAGGTGGTGGCTGAACGACGGCGTGGGGAGCCGTGGTCGGAGGCAGTCACCTTCAACACGTGGGTGTCCTTGGTCTCCCGGTCGAGGCTGCGGGCGGTGACCACGCTGCCCGTCTCAGAGTCGATGGAGAAGTAGTCATTGGAGCGCTCGTCAAAGAGCGCCTCCATGGAGTACGACAGCCGG